ACAGACTGCTACTATAAACATTATTTAATTATCACGTTACGAAGATTTCAAACTTATTCTAATATTGTTAAGTAAAAAAAAATAATTTAAAAGATTTAAGGAAATAATTACATATTTTTATAAAACGTAACAATTAAGATAACTAAACATTTTGAAAAGTACTTTTCTCAGAACATGTATACAAGAATTGTTTATAATGATTACACAAGGGAGGTGTCAGGGAGTGGCAGCATAATCTTTGTACAATAATTTCATGACATATATTTAAACTTTCAATTTTTTTAAACTGTTATTGTACTACTATTGAATATCTTTTACCTTCAATTAACTTCCGTTTACATGTGAAACATAAATTCCTATTTAAGAGTTGTAGAAATCAGCGTCCTTACTGTTGTCACAACCTATGACACATGCTAGTTTGTATGCATAAGAGCATTAAAGTTATATTCCAAGATCAAGTATGTAATTTTCATACATTATAACCAAAAATATAAACCAGGAAGAGAAAACAAAATTATATTTCTGTAAATTTTTGCCGTACTTAATATGTTATAGCTGGTATATAATTAATTTTTATAAATCAATAATATATAATATGTCAATGAGAATAAACCTTTAATACGAATATCTTCATTCATATAGTACCAACCACGGGTGGGGCCCCTTGCAAGATATTATTCCCTATGCATCAATATTCTCTAGCGATTATGAAATTAATACGTTTCTTTTCCATTCCATGTAAAGCATACTATGTTCTATCATTTAAAATAATTTTCCTCCTTTAATAACCTTGAAGATTCTGCAAAATTTTATTTGACTTATATTCAAGTAATAATCTTTTTTTCATCATTTCTTTGAAGTATTTCATTATTGTAAAAATTGTGATTCCGCAATTAGAGAAGTTTAAAAAAATCAGTTTTCTAATTTGAATTTAAAATGTTAAGATTGTGTTTAAAAAATTACACAGCATGCTGTATGTTGCAACGTTTTCATGTAATACCAAATAGCAAACAATAGTTTGCATTCTTTTCTATAGTAGCAATTTTTTTTCCAATACATCAATTTTTCAATTATTTTATTGGGGGAAAAATGTTTAGATAAATCATTCGTTTGATTCGAGATTTATTAACAAATCTATTAAATTTAGAATTCAGCTTCATTTTGTATTTATAAAGAATTAAAAATTAGCTTGCAATAGCATCGGCAAATACAACTCATAGCATTCAGTGGCTCTCAAAACCAATGGAGCGTCGTTACTGATCGTATAAGCTGATAAAACGAGAAATTTTAAATAATTTTTACATCTAAAGTTTTATTTATCTCGTATCGAAGTTCCGTCGAAACAAATTGTTTTCAGGTAGAATGACTTTCCAAATGAGATTAATAGGCTATTAACATTTATTACAAATTTTTACAATAAATCCACTATCATAACGCCAACCCCCAAAATAAACTCTACGAAGGGAAATTTAAAAAATAAACGAAAATTGATCCAAAGAATTCCCTTATTTGCTACATTCTATTCCTGGTCTAGTTTTGAATTCACAATTTATTGTAGGAACAAGAGGACGGTGATGATCCGAGGATTAACGATAACGTCTCAAGCGCCCGGGACGAACTGTCTTCGGAATTAAATACTCGTTTGTCTTGCAGGTTTCGACGTGTAGGTGCTGACAGTCAATGATCGCGAAACTTAAAGGCCACCGGTTCACTAAGCAACCTGGAGTTATCAACTTGCATGCGTAACGACAACCCTATTTCTTTTAGAAATTTGTGTAGGTCGGTGAACTCTGGTCCTTGCTCTTGATACGGGAACCGCCTCGTGTTACCATGACTAATTTACTAATTAACTATTTGACACATCCAGATCACCTTAAATGACAAAAACTAAGCAATTTAAAGAGATAATAAACAACTTCAATCTCTGAAGTGGATTAATTTAGGAAATCCTGCACTATCCCAATGGGAAAATCCTATTCTTACTCACATCCTATTTTTCCTAAAAGATAACCATATGATCCACTCAGATAGAAGGAAAACTGAAACTCCAGTAAACTTGTTCGAGTCACCAAAGTATAATATCAATTGAATCAGTATTCTATCCCCAACAGGTGCAGCAGCAAAAATATATTCAGATATTCTGTTAACTGTCAATTTATAACTAAAAATAACAACCATTAACAAACAACTTGGTTCCAGAATTGTTGACTTTAACATTTAAGTTCTCAAGGTTATAATTGTGAGAAAAAAAATATTCATGTAGAGCAAAATCATTTCACATTCTTATTTAATCTATACATCAATGAAATACTTAAAAATCAAAACATTTTTCCAGTCATATATACTACACTAGTTTCACAATAACTAAAATACAAATTATAATACTAAAAGTTTAAGAAATTATTCAAATGTTCATAGTTTTTGAGTTTAATCAATGTAAAATCTAATTTATTTGATCTTCCTTTACAATTTTAATATTAAATTACATGTATGTATGTCAGTCACATAAATTTATTTATGTAAATACTTTATTATAGTTAGTGCATTTAACTGTATTCATTTAACAACTTTTGTTTAAAAATATTTTTACTTCTACCTTTTATTACATAATTTCATTTACA